TGGAGCCTTAGAGAACTGTGGGATTCCTTACAATGGGTGTCCCAGAAGGACAGGAGAAAAAGGGGACAGAATATTTGAAGAAATAATGACTGAAAACTTCCAAACTTTGATGACAAACATTAATCCATATATCCAAGAAGTTCAAAAAACTACTGAAAGTAGGATAAACTCAAAGTAATTCACATATAGATACATCATAATCAAACTGTCACAAGCCAAGGGAAAAGAGAAAATTTTTAAAGCAGTAAGAGAGAAGCAGCTCATCACATACAAATGACCCTCAATAAGATTAATAGCTAATTTCTCATCAGAAACCATGTAGGACAAAGGAAGTGGGATGACACATTCAAAGAGTGAAAGAAAAAAACTGTCAACTAAAAATTCTATAATGGGCAAAATTACGTTTTAAAAAATGAAGGAGAAATTAAGACACTTCCAGAAAAATGAAAATTAAGAAAATTCATCACTAGCAGATCTGAATGCCACACGGTGTCCTCCAGACTGAAATGAGAGGATGCTGTTATTGTTATTAGGTATCATCAAGTTGACTCCACCTCATAACAACCCTATGTAGAACAGAATGAAACACTGCCTGGTCATGTGCCTTGCTCACAATTCTTGATATACCTGAGCCCATCATTTCAGCCATTTTGTCAATCCAACTCATTGAGGGTCTTCCCCTTTTTTCTGACCCTCTACTTTTGTTGTTGTTATTAGGTTGGACAAATCAAATGGACAAAAGTAAACCCTGTAATCATACCAGAACAGTAACTAAAAAAAAAAAAGGGGGGGGGGGGGAAAAAAAAAAAAAAAACCCTGAAGCATCTGGGGAGAGGGCAATAGATTAAAAAAAGGTAGAGAAAGAGAATAATGAAGAAAAACATGGGAAAAATGCAAAAAGGAGTAGAAAGGATGGGGTTAATCACAGTAAAGAAAAATGAAAAATTGCAACCAGGAACAGAGAAAATAAAAAACCTGAAAACTAGAACCTGGGAAGGGAAGAATAAAGAATTATAGTGAAAAGGACAAAAGTAGTAATAATAATAGTAGTTTTAAAACAGACAAAAACAAACAAACTAAGAAACAGTAAAAAGAGAAAAAAAAAAACATGGTGGTAGGCCGGGGCTGGGCACCCAGGCTCTCTCTGAGCACACAGACTAGAGTGGAGTTCCTGTGGGCCCAGAAGGTGGGTGAGACTGAGAGATGGCCACACCTCCATTCACCAAGAGCGTGTGGGGTATAAGAGTAACAAGGGGAATGTTGCACCTTTCCAGTCACCCAGATCCGGAATGTCCTTGGGGTTCCTGGCAAGTGGAGCCTGTTCTTAAGTCCCTGGAAACTGGGAGAACACTGTTGCTTTCATATCCAAAACGGTCAAACTGCTTATAAACATTCAAAATGGCTGCGCCCTCCAGACAGACAAAAGTCCACAGCTCAGCCTGCTGTCCTCTTCATTGCTTTCCCTTTTATTCCCCAGCCACCCAAGCAGTCCTCTGTGCAGTCCCTGGCTAGCAGGCCCAATTTTTGGGTTAATTCTTAAGTCTGACCACCACTCGGCAATATCCAAGTTGTGTGTGCCATCAGGATCACTACCAGACCACAGCTCTGTATGTCTCCTTTTTCGGTATTTTCATGCAAATTCTTCTGCTAGTTGGAGTTTTGTACACTTCTATATCTTTCCCTTCAAGGCTCAGAGGTGCAGTATTATCTTCTGTATCTGTGTTAATTCATTTCCCTTTTCTTTGTTGAAGAGGGCCTGTGCAGTCTTTCTACCTATTCTGCCATCTTACCAGAACTCCTTTGTCTATTTTATTATTTATTTTATTTTTTCCCTTCCTCTTTTTCCTTCGTTTTTATAATCCCATAGAATGGGTGCCCTGCCTCCCACCACCTCCACATTCAACAGTGCCTACTCCTGTGCTTTTGTTAGTGTGTGCCCCCAAAGACCAAGCACTGAGTTCCCACAATAGCTACGTTTGACAATTAGTGCTTGCAACAGTACTATGCTGTTTTTCCCCTTTTTTTGTTTCCCTTCTTTTCTTTCTCCTTACCTCTTCCATCTTCCCTCTACTCTTTGTTTTTCCTTTTCTTCTCCTCTTTTTTTCATCACATTCCCCCTTTATTTTCTTTTTCTTACTCAGCAGTCGGGAGCCAGTGACTTACTCAGCATACCCACTACACCTGCCACCCACCACGTGGGTGAGTTCCACTGCTCAAGCACCACTGGATCAATGACACACAGTGTCATTATACAACAGCCAAATAAACCGTTAGCTTCTCTACCTGACTAGAGATCAGAGACTCGTGCCTACAATCCCACCCCCTTCCAAGTCCACCTGGAGACAGGTGGTGAGCACCCCAGTGCTTCCAAACTAGTGACCAGAATAGCACACCTGCCCTATTGCTCAGATATATTAAAACAACAACAACAATAACAAAAAAATCAGGGAGATACAAACCAAGATACAATCAACAAGTAAGTACAATAATACCACAATGTCATGGAGACTACAGAAAACTTCAAATCACAGATCAAAAGAGAATAAGATGTCCCAAGCAAGTCACCAAAATATAGTGTCAGAAAATCTTCCAGAGGAAGAAATTCTGTTGGAACTACCTGATAAGGAAATCAGAAGAATTATCCTTAAGTTCCTACAACAGAGTAAGAGAAAAATCAAGGAAAGTATACAAAAAATTAAGGAAACACAAAGAAAACGCTAGAAGAATTCAGTAAAACAATATAAGAACAAATTGTCAAAATAATTGGAAAATTAGAAACCATACAAAAACCAAATCCATTCCCACTGAGTCAATTCCAACTCATAGCAATGCTATAGGACAAAGCTCCATAGGGTTTTCAAAGCTGTAAATCTTTACAGAAGCAGTCTGCCTCTTCTTTCTCCCATGGAGCAGCTTGTAGATTCAGAGCACCAACTTTCTGGTTGGCAGCCAAGTTCTTTAACCATTGCACCACAATAGCTCCTTTGTACAAGGACAGCAAATAGAAATCCAGAAGATAATTACTAATATTTTAGAAATAGATAATGCATTGGAAGGGCAAAGGAGTAGAATTGAATCAATGGAAGAGAGAACTAGCAAAATTGAAGACAAATCTCAATACTAATCTGTTAGGGGAACAATTGGGGGAAAAAATGAAGGCTAAGAATTATGTGAGGTACCATTAAGAAGAATAAAAAATGTGTGATTGGCATTCCAGAACCAACAAAAGCAAAGCAAACTCACGGCCATCAGGTTGATTCTGACTCATAGTGACCTCCTTTGGGTTTCTGAGATGGTAAAACTTTATAGAAGTAGATTGCTCAGTCTTCCTTTCATGGAGTGGCTGGTGGGTTTGAACCACCAAGCTTCTTGTTAGCACTCAAATGCCTTAGGCACTATGCCACCAGAGCTCTCTGCACTCCAGAACAAGAAGAGGGGAAAAAAGCACATGAAAATTTCAAGATCTGTTGGAAGAAAATTTCCCTAATATTATGAAAGATGAGAAGATATGAATTCAACAAGCTCAATGAACCTCAAAACTGCAAAAGAAAATCACTAAGACATATCATAATAAACTTTCCAAAACTAAAGACAAAGAACTAATCCTGAAAGTAGATCAAGAAAAAGGAAAAGTTACCTACAAAGGAGAACCAATAAGACTTAAGCTCTAATTTCTCAATAGAAACCATGCAGGAAAGAAGGCAATGGGAAGACATATATAAAACTTTGAAAGGAAAAAAAAAATGCCAACTAAAAATTATATATCCAGCAAAATTATCCCTCAAATATGATGGTGAATTCAGGACATTTCCAGATAAACAGAAATTAAGGGAATTTTTAAAAACCAGACGAACCTTGTAAGAAAGGCTAACAGGAGTCCTTCAGACAGAGAACCAACAATAGCAGACCACAACCTGAGATTAAGATACACAACAACAACACCCAGTATTCAACCCAGATATAGTAATATATGACCCTAGATTTCTTTATATCCTTTTACTAAACTTTTACTTTTTACTAAAACTTTTTACTAAACATTGAGTAAGAGGGTAAACTAAAAGTGTAGTAAGATACTTTAGTAAAAGTATTACTAAAGAACTATCTCATGATAAAGATGCTCTGGGAAATCTACTTACTTGTTTTATCAATTAGAGTATCATTTAGTTTCCTGGAATTTTTTTTATAATGAACTAGGGAAGGAAGAGGAGCTCTGGTAGCATAGTGCCTAAGGCACTTGACTGCTAACCAGAAGGCTGGTGGTTCAACCCACCAGCCACTCCTCGGAAGGAAGGTTGGGCAATCCTACTTCCGTAGTAATACTGCCTCGGAAACCCAAGGAGGGGTTGCTATGAGTCGGGGCCAACTCGATGGCAAACAACAACAACAAGGGAAGGAAGAATTATTTATGAAGTACAGGAATGGCATAGAGCAGCTGGAAAATCCTGACCATGGTAGGCAGCATTAATTGAACACAATACCCTTTCCAAATAATCCCAAGTATGACCTCAAAATACTTCCTACTTGGCCTCAGTAGCTACTACCACTAAATTTGAATTGGTATGTAAAATGAAATCCATTTGCTATCCTGGAATAGACTGTAGCCCACAGACTTTCAAGTGTCTTTTTTAAGCCCTCGGTTATTTGTAAACCTTTGGCACTTGGATAATTTAAGCTTTTATGAACTCAAGCTTATCAGGATAAAGACCAGTTCCAAGAATTTTAAGTTTACTAGAATTAGCATTGTTTGGGATGCCTGTCCCAATATTTATAAGTTGGTAGGTAAAAGATACAAATTTATCACCTGTGTCAAAAGGATAAAATTTTAGTAACTTCTCAATAACAACATCTGCTGTGATTTCTCAAGAGAACAAGTGAGGGTGGTAGAGGAGATGGCTAACCAGAGAGAGTGGTGGTGAAAAACTGGGTGAACTGCTAAAGATCCCAGCCTAGGAAAAGGTGAGACCACTGAACTCAGCAGTCAAAGCCTCATCAGCACTTACTTGGGATGCTTGAAGGCCATTAGGCATCTCTCGTATTTTCCTACCATGCTCCAGGCCATGACCAGGCCATCAGCACTTCCTGACAGGAGATGCCACTGGTCAAAGCACAGGCACTTCACTGCTCCCTCATGGCCACTGAGAGTCTGCAAGAAAGAATGCCACTGGTTTCAGCCTACTCAGATTGTGACTTCTCCAAGAACCAAACCTGGAGGCTTCTTTAGATAGATCCCAAATCCACACTCCAGCAATCCATGTCTGCCACTCACTTGCTGTTTACTTGAGCTGATTGCACTTTTGCTCTAAAATCAGTGGAGTCCGTGCTCCCTTCTGACCAGGGTTCTCTCTCCAGTTAAGAAGGAATGTGATCAGGAAGAGGCCTTGCTCCTGGTGGGTCTATGACTAGGGCAGGCCCCATCTTCCTGGAGCATCAGGATCAGAAACTAGCATCCTCTGCTGCAAACAAGGCATAGAGTAAGCTGTTCTTCCCCAAGCCCTTGTCAGAACCTGAGAGAGCACTGGGGGTCCCTGTAACTGCCACTGCTGTTTAGACCACAGTGAGAACAAGACTTTGGGAAACATCCAGAAGCCAGGCCAGCAGCTTCTCACTGAGAGTCTGTGTTCCTGGTACAAATGATACCTCAATAACACCCACAAGGACTAGGGAGTTCAGATCCAGCAAGCCTGTGTTTTGGTCGTTTTTCTTTTTGGTTATGTGTGTGTGTGAACATTGAAATCACTTTCAAGGCAGTTTATGTTCTCTTCTCATCAGAGAGTAAGGAGAGAAAAATCACAGCTTTGTTCATCCCCTTGCCCCATTCCAGCACCAGGGCAGAATACTCTGGAAGAGTATAAGAGTACTGCTCTTACAAAGGTCCTGGGGTGCATATATTGTGCCCAGGAAGACATCAGCCTTGCCCTACCATCCCTGTGACAACATGGGTCACGATGTGGATGGGGGATCCCTTGACCCTCCACAACCCAGACCACCCTACTTTGGCCATCTTCCACTTCAGTTTTCACATCTGTCCCTCTGATTACTGTAACACAGTCACTCTAGGATGGCTTGGGGAGTCCCATTGGGAAGACCACCAGTCCCCTGCAGCCTTGCCCTCTCACCTTTACCAGCTGGGCTGTGGCAATATGCCACACCTTGACCATCCCTCGCTCACAGCTGCTCACGATGTAGGTGTCACTGATCCTGGTGGCCAATATGGGGTCTTTGTGCTTAAACGTCCTCAGGCATTTCCCTGTATCTATATCCCACACTGAAGGGGAGAGAGGGGGAAGGGGAAGGGAGGGAGTGAAGGATGGGAAAGAGTACAATTGAGTCAGCGTCCAACCCCAGAAGCAAAGATAAGCAGAGCCCATCAAGTCAGGGTGTAGAAGGCCTCCTCCTGGCCAGGCTCCATCAATAGCTCCATCCACCTGCAGCACAGAGCTCCTGACCAGAGGCCCTCAGGAGCCGGCAATGCATTAGAACTGGCTCTAACTCTGGAACTCAGCATTGGGTCCAGATGCTAACCCAATAAGCTGTCTCCAATAAGCCTCTTCCTCAACCCTGAGTGGTCCAAACAGTTAAGTACTCAGCTTCTAACTGAAAGGTTGCAGGTTCAAGTTCTCCCAGAGGCACCTTAGAAAAAAGGCCTGGTGATCCACTTCCAAAAAATCAACCACTGAAAACCCTATGGAGCACAGTTCTGCTCTGATACATATGGGGTTGCCATGAGTAAGAGTTGACTCCATGCCAACTCACTGGTTTAAAGTCATCTTTCTTCCCCATGCTGTTCTCCTGACCCAGACCTTCTATCCACAAAATAAAAAGGAAAGATCTAGAGTTTTAAATGTTTCTGATTCTGACTTATAGATTTTTATTATTTGAAAAATTATCATGGACAGGGGTGAACTTAATGCTGTTTCTACATAGACTACGTTAGAGCAACTGTCTAGTATACTGCAAGTGCTAGGAGGATACAAGAGTGGGCAGGCAGGTGTGATAACAGAAGAAAGAAGGTGAGAGTAGGCACAATATATGCAAGGATAAGTATACTAGTGTTTGCTTGATCAGCCTCCAAACTACCTTCTTTCTCAGGCACAGAATGAATAGGCCTAACACAAAATAATAACAATACTAATAATAACACAAGGAGTTCTGGTTGTGTAGTGGTTAAAGCATTGGGCTGCTAACCAAAAAGTCAGCAGTTCAAACCCACCAGCTGTTGCACAGGAAAAGATGAGATAGTCTGCTTCCATAAGTACTTACAGCCTTGGAAATCCTATGAAGCAGTTCTACTCTGTCCTATAGAATTAATTTTTGTGTATGGTGTGAGGTATGGATTTTGTTTCATTTTTCTCCAGATGGATATCCAGTTTTGCCAGCACCATTTGTTAAAGAGACTATCTCTTCCCCACTGAATAGATTTTGGCCCTTTGTCAAAGATAAGCTGATCATAGGTCAAAGGATTGATTTCTAGGTTCTCAGTTCTCTTCCACTGGTCTATGTGTCTGTCATTGTACCAAACCAGGCTATTTTGACTACTTGGCTGTATAGTAGGTTTTGATATTGGGGAGTGTGAAATCTTCACTTTGTTCTTCTTCTTCAGTAGTGCTTTGCTTATCTGAGTGCTCTTTCCTTTCCGTATAAAATTAGAACTGGTTTTTCCATATCCTTAAAGAATGTTGATGGAATCTGGATTGGGATTGCATTGAATGTGCATATTCCTTTGGTAGAATTGATATTTTCACAATGTTCAATCTTCCTATCCATGAGCATAGTGTGTTCTTCCATTTATGCAGATATCTTACAGTTTTTTGAAGTAGTGTTTTGTAGTTTTATCTGTCTAGGTTTTTTTATGTCCTTGGTGAGATTTATTCTCAAACATTTTATCTTTCTAGTAGCTAGTGTAAATGGTCCACTACTCTTCTGTCAGTTTGTTGTACTGTGGTGGCTTGCGTGTTGCTGTGAGGCTTGAGGCTATACCACCAGTTTATCAAATACTGGGAAGGTCTCCCATGGTGGATGTGGCTCAGTGGAGCTTCCAGACTAAGACAGACTCAGAATAAGGAAGGGGCCATCCACTTCTCAAAGAATTGACCAACGAAAACCTTGTGAACAGCAGTGAAACACTGTCTGATGTATTACTATAAAACTTTATGAATAGCCTTGAAACATTGTTGGATACAGTGCTGGAAGATGAGCCCCTCAAGTCAGAAGGCATTCAAAATATGACTGGGGAAGGGCTGCCTCCACAGAGTAGAGCCAACCTTAATGATGTTGATGAAGTAAAGCTTTTGGAATCTCCATTTGGTGGTGTGGTACAAATTGAAATGAAGAAACAGCTGCAAACATTCATTAATAATCAGAACATAGAATGTACGATGTATGAATCTAAGAAAACTGGAAGTTGTCAAAAATGAAATGGAATGCATAAAAATCAATATGCTAGGCATTAGTGAGCTGAAATGGAATCATTTTGGCCATTTTGAATCAGACAACCATATGATGTACTATGCTGAGAATGACAAATGAAGATGAATGGCATGACATTCATTGTCATGAAGAATGTTTCAAGATCTATCCATAAGTGATAGGATAATATCCATATGCTTGCAAGAAAGACTAGTTATTACTATTATTCAAATTTACACATACAAGGAAATTGAAGATTTTTATAAACTTCTGCAGTCTGAAATTGACCAAACATGCAATCAAAATGTATTGATTATCACTGGTGATTGGAATGCAAAAGTTGGAAGCAATGAAGTATCACTGGTGGTTAGAAAATACAGCTTTGGTGAAAGAAATAATGCTGGAGATTGCATGATAGAATTTTGCAAGACCAATGACTTATTCACTGCAAATGCCTTTTTTTTTTCAACAACATAAATGGTGACTATACATGTAGACTTCACCAGGTGGGGTACAAAGGAATCAGATTAACTACATCTGTGGAAAGAGGCAATGGAGAAGCTCAATATCTTCAGCCAAAACCACGCCAGGATCTGATTGTGGAAGAGACCATCAACTGCTCATATGCAACTTCAAGTTGAAGTTGAAGACAATTAAAGAAGTCCACAAGAGCCAAAATATGACCTGGATTATATCCCTCCTGAATTTAGAGACCATCTAAATAATAGATTTGATGCATTGAACACCAACGACTGAGAACCAGAGGAATTGTGGAATGACATCAAGAGCATCATCCATGAAGAAAGCAAAATGTCATTAAAAAGACAGGAAAGGAAGAAAAGGCCAAAATGGATATCAGAAAAGACTCTAAAACTTGCCTTTGAATGGAGAGTAACTAAAGCAAATGAAAGAATCAACAAGATAAAAGAGCTGAACAGAAGATTTCAAAGAGCAGCTTGAGAAGACAAAGTCAATTATTATAATGAAATTTGCAAATATTTGGAGGTAGAAAACCAATGGGGAAGAACATGCTCAGCATTTCTCAAGGTGAAAGAACTGAAGAAAATATTCAAGCCTCGAGTTGCAATATTGAAAGATTCTATGGGCAAAATATTGAATGATGCAGGAAACATCAAAAGATGGAAAGAATACACAGATTCACTGTACTGAAAAGAATTGGTCAATGTTAATCCATTTCAGGGAATGGTATATGATCAAGAACCAATGGTATTGAAGGAAGAAATCAAAGCTGCACTGAAGGAATTGGTGAAGAACAAGGCTCCAGGAATTGACGGAATACACACTGAGATGTTTCAACAAACGGATGCCCCGCTGGAGGCACTCACTCAGCTATACCAAGAGATTTGGCAGACAGCTACCTGGCCAACTGACTGGAAGAGATCCATATTTGTACCCATTCCAAAGAAAGGTCATCCCTTTACAGAATGTGGAAATTATCGAGCAATATCTTTAATATTGCATGCAAGTAAAATCTTACTGAAGATAATTCAAAATGGTTGCAGCAGTATATTGACAGAGAACTTCCAGAAATGCAAGCCAGCCTCACAATCCTTGCTACACCTGATCCCATCATCGCAGCCATTGTGTCAATCCATCTTGTTGAGGGTCTTCACCTTTTTCATCAACCCTCCACTTTACCAAGGATGATATCCTTCTCCAGGGAATGGTCCCTTCTGACAACATGACCAAGGTAGGTAAGATGAAGTCTGGCTGGTCTCGTTTCCAAGGAGCATTCTGGCTACACTTCTTCCAGGACAGATTTGTTGGTGCTTTTGGAAGTTCTTTCAGTATTCTTCTCCAACACCACAACTCAAAAGCATCAACTCTCCTTTGGTCTTCCTTATTCACTGTCCAACTTTCACATGCATATGAGGCAATTGAAAATACCATGGCTTGGGTTGGGCGCACCTTAGTCTTCAAAGACACATCTTTGCTCTTCAGCATTTCAAAGAGGTCTTTTGCAGCAGATTTGCCTAATGCAATATGTCATCTGTTGTCTTCACTGCTCCTTATATTGATGTTGATTGTGGAAC